TGTTCTCATTTTGAAGAATTTTCATAATTACTTGCCAAGCCCCAAGGGTGCTGTCATTTATTGACTTGAATCCCATCCACCCACCTCCCTCTCCAGTTGGGACAGATAATTTAGGAGAGGCACCTATGTAGCCAGTGTTCTGCTAGGTTACATGCATGGCCTGGCAATCCTAGGTGGCCTTATTGATGGTGTAACGTCGTCATGTGGTGTTATCTCCATGCCTTGGTGAAAACCAGTGGGCAGAAAAATGTTACTGTAAGACAGGATTTGGGAGGGAATCAATGCAAGGTTGCCATTTTCAGTGGGTGCTCAACCTGGAACATCACCTCTGCACTTGCCTTGAGATCTAACAGACAAGGTTTTAGAACCGCAAGGATTTCAGAATCAGCCCTTGGTGTGTGTACTTCATAGGTCATCCTCATCTGCCTGCAACCTGTATTAGTAGGGTTGCCATCCCCCTGATGGGGGGCGGGGGTTCCCCTGATTTTCGACCCTCCGATTTGCCTGCCGGCCAAAAACTCTATGGTACCATAGAGTTTTTGACCGAACGATAGAGTGTTCCTCCTGGCGACATGCCTAACGTGATGACATCACTTCTGGGTGATGTCATTGTGGCACATGCGCAAGATCATCCCGGGAAGAAACCTCCATCCCCCGCCAGCAGAAGGTAGGGACCTAGCAACCCTACATATTAGCAACTTCTGTGCTGATTGTAATTGACATAAGAATTCCAAACTAACGAACAGTTGCATACCTTAGAAGATTTTGGTGCAAAAATCTGCAGCTGTAAGTATGCAGCACTAGAGTTTACACTTGTTATTACAAAATGCATTTTGAATGCTTTTTAAAATGTAATTCATAGGACCCCTAAAAGCCTGGCTACATTCAGTTTCCAAGTGTGCCACACCTCTCACCTTCCAGCCTCGGACATAGGCCTGAATAAGAAGAGCTGCCATCTTCATCTTGGAATATTTGTTCTTTTGCTGTAAAATAAATTTTTCACTTCAGTAGAGAGACAGACCATGGGCAAACAGGGGCCCATTTGTTTCATACAAGCAGCAGACAAGAGCCTCCAGTGCACGCATGCACACCAGTTTCACAGCACTTATCCTCTGGTCAATTAGTTTTACCCTAGCATGAAGTCCATCTGCCCCTTATGTTATGCTTGGTATAGGATGCAGAACCTTACTTGCAAGAAATTACCTCTATCTAACAAAGCCTTGCAAATTCATAAAGGAAGCTATATCATAAGGCGGGGGTCCCTAACCTTTTTGAGCCTGTGGGCACCTTTGGAATTCTGACACAGGGGGGTGGTTGTGACCACAAAACGGCTGCTATGGGAGACACAACCTTTCAGAAAACAGCTACATTCCACATACACCCAGAAGAAACAAGTGCAGGGGAGAAGGTGGTAATTTTTTAAAAAAAGAGCGTGAGTAAAAACTAACACTGTGATGGCAGCTGCCATTGAGACGACATTTCTAAAAATCTGCTCAGCCAACCATTTCTCCAGTGGTTAATCAGATGCCTTGTTAGGCAAAAGCCCTACCTGGCCCCACTCCCAGCCGGGGTGCCATAGTGCCCACGGACACCATGTTGGAGAACCCTGTCTCAGGGCATATCTGCACTTTAGACCAGTTTTGAACCAGCTTAATTGTTATGGCTTCTATCAAAGTATCTTGTGAACTACAGTTTAGTAGGGAGAGGTTGACCATGAAGAGCTTCCCAAAACCACAATTCCCAGGGGTCTCTGAGGGAAGGGAATGACTGTTAAACCTGATTAAGTCTGTGATGAAGTTACGACTTCATTACAAAGGATACACGACAACAGATGCCCACACCAAATAAATGCAACATAGAATTGAGGCCATCTCTGCTCCTTGTTGGTTGTGCACTAGGCAAAGATCTGACACGGCGTAGTCACTGGCAGCTTTGCACAGCACAGAAAATACTAAGGCATGCAAGCCACAAACCAGAGTCCCCATCTTACTTACTGCATGGCCCCGGTACCAGGCAGAGATAAGGATCTGGCTCTTGCGCATCTTTTGATAGTGCATGCGGCATTTCCATGCCCGGTAAGTTGCTTGAATCAGGGCAGCCAGCTCCTCGACTCGCCGCTGACGTCGGTCTTCTAAGTTAAAAAGCTGTGGAGGGAGGATTGGAAACCAGCAATATCAATAGTCAGATCCGAGTGCATTGGGCGTTTGCCCTGAGTTGCATTTATTCTAGCATTGCCATTGGAACCTCACAGTTTTATAAATCTGTTCATTAAATTAAATTATAGTATGGCATTATGTGTAGAATAGCCAGGAGATCCTAGGGTTGTCTGGCAGCCACAAGTTCTAACTCTTAATGTTGTGCTAGTGGCGAGCTAGATTCTTTTTACGGGCTGAGAGAGCTCTGAAAGAACTGTAACTGGCCCAGGGTCACGCAGCTGGCTTCATGTTGGAGGAGTGGGGAATTGAACCCAATTCTCCAGGTTAGAGTTCAATGCTCTTAACCGCTACACCAAACCGGCTCTCTAATCCATTTGCATTTAAACCAGTTAAAAATATGAAGAGAAAAGCTAGGACATACATTCCGCTTCTCTTCTTCAGGCTACCTGGGTCTATATCCACACATCACTAGATGTGCTATAGATGTGTGACAGCCATCATTTGCTACTGGATTGTCTTTATACACTTAGGGAAATCCAGTTGCAAATGATAGCTATTGTGCAACAATAGCACAATATGCAACAATGTACAGAAGCAGGTCTACTTTCCAAGGTGTCAAACTTAGCACAAAGGACAAGCAAGAGAACCTGTAATGTGGTTTCTGTTTTGTTGTGTAAAAACAGACTGAACCAGTGTTCCCTCTAAGATGAGTTAGTGTGAGCTAGCTCATAGTTTTTTAGCCTCCAGCTCACACGTTTTTGTCTTAGCTCAGGAAGGATGACCTCCAGAGCAAACTAATTGATGCGGTAGCCAGATTGCTCGCTCACAACTTTAATGCCAGTAGCTCAAAGTAGAATTTTTGTTCACAAGACTCTACAGCTTAGAGGGAGCATTGGTCTGAACCCATGATACTGTCTTCAGCTGGCTCCAATAGCTGCTTTGGCACGTCACCCGGAAGTGATGCGGGCATGCCGAGCACGCTGGGGGCGGGGCCACGGTCATCCGAGGGAAAACTCGCTTTACTTCCGGGCACTCCAGTCGTTCCGCGCGCTCCAGCCGCAACCTGGGAGTCCCCCACTGCGGCTCAATTCTCACTTGGCAACCCTACTTGATAGCCTGCCTCTGCCTCCCAGCCCTGGTATTCTTTGGAGGTAACCAAATACTTGCCAGGGTCAGCCCTACGTAGCTTCTGAGATCTGATGAGATCGGGCTTGCCTGGGCTGTCCAGGTCAGGGCTGGATGTTGCCAAAGTTCTTGACAACTCTGATTTGACTTGGAAGTTATCGTTTCTTATTGCTTGGAATGAAACTGAAGCTATCTTTTCACCCAATTCAAACAGTGGCTGTGGTTCAGGGGTAGAGCATCCATTCTGCATGCTAGAAATCCTTTGTTGAATCCCTCCCATCTCCAGTGGAAAAGATCAGACAGTAAATGATGTTAAAGGATCTCCGCCCTGGAGAACCGCCGCCTGTCAGAGTTGATAAGACTGACCTTGAAAAATTAAGGATCTGACTCAAAATAAAGCAGCTTCATGTATTCATATGAAGGAAACATTACAGTTAAAACTAGTGCCTGTTTTTGCACCAAATGCATGTAAATGCAAAAAAGGCCATGACAATAAACAGGAGAATAATTTCGTAAATAATTCATAGAAAACTAAGAGAAATGAAAAGATGGCATATCCATTCATTCCTACTTCAATTCGAATGGGAGATGGCTGGATTGAGAGGGTGGAGGAAAAGGAAAGATTCCCTCCCAAGAATTCTCAGTGCAATTGTTCCCCATGGGACATAGAGTTTGTGCGGAGCAGTTCAGATTCTTTCTTTACTCAGACCCATCCCCACCATTCCTTCCAGGGTGGTCAGCCGGGAACTGGCAAGAGTCTAGGGTGGTGGGGACATTGGGGGGGGGGGCACTGTTGCATGATGGCATTACGGAAAACCCAGAAATAACATCATGCTGGTCTAGAAATCACCATAAACTCCATGGTTTCTGCAAATTCCTAGAATGGCATGACATCACACTGACAGTGATTTCTTACTTTTTTGGGGGGTGGGGTGGGGAGCTGGGGATTGATAATCTCCAGCTCCCTGTGAGTAACTGGCAATGCTAATTTCCAGTTGTGGGGGTTTAATACATTTCCTTTCCTTTCTAAGTACTGGTCAGTCATCAGGGGCAACTTATTTCCCTGTTGCTGTGCTACAGATAATTAGTATCAATAAATTAAGCTGAGCAAGTGCAGAGTTGCAAAAGGCCTAGATCAAACCAGCGCTCTTAGCAAGAGCTCAGCTCCCCTACATAGCAATTAAATGTAAAGTCTGGAAACCTATGTACATTCACAAAGAGTAGAGATGAATATTGTTAGGTACAAGACTCGAGGCAGAAGGTGAACAGTGATAACAGCTTTATTGAGCACGAAGTCAGAAGAACCAGAACGAGACAAACAATGGAGCAACAGGCTCCTTTTTAAACAGTCTGGGCTTGGCAAGCCACGCCCACATGTCAGATAAGATCCAATCAGAAACTGTACATAAAGACCAATCACTTTGCTTCCCTCCAGAACTTCCCTTGTTCTGATAGGTCGGTTTACAATACCTTGCTACATTCTGTTCCATACATAACAAATATGTTTCACTCCATTTTTAACCCGAAGATGTAAGATAGACAGTATCCTAATTTTAAAATCTCAGCCTCAGTACTTAGTGAAATTTTTAGTTGTACATATTTTATTGTCTGAATATAAGGAATAAAACCTATCCCAGGTTTCTCATTGTTTATTGCAAACTTATTTTGGCACAGAAGCAACATTTAGACATTCTTTTGAAAACGGTTGTTTAAGTTGTTCCCACTCATGACAGACCAACCTTAACCAGGTCTACTCAGAAATCCTACTCAGGTCTGTTCAATGGGGCTTACTCCCAGGAAAGCATTTGTCCAATTGCACTCACTTGTCCTCAGTGAACTCATCATATAACCAACTCCTGACTGGTTATAACTTCTGACATCATTCCTTTCACCAATTAATTCCAATTGGGTGGCGTCACCCAAGTAACTAATTCAAGAAGTAAAAAGAACAGAGGCAGAAAGGAGAGGGAAAAGCACTTTGAATTTGCAAGTAAGAGCAGCAGCAGCAGCTGAAGAACGCAGGAAGATAAATAAGCCCTGTTGGATCAGACCAGTGGTCCATCTAGTCCAGCATCCTGCCTCTCACAGCAGCCCACCTGGAGGGCCAAACAAACCAGGAACAGAGGACAAGGCTCCCCACTGCTGCTGCCTCCCAGCACTGGGATTCAGAGGTTTGCTGCCTCTACATATGAGTCCAGCGCACCTTAAAGACCAACAAGTTTTATGGGGCATAAGCTCCCTTTATCACATATGAAGTTGCTACTGGACTCTGATCTAACTCTACGGTGCTAATGGACTCAAGTGCAGGGCTTTTTTTCTGGGGGAATGAGCCAGAATGGAGTTCCAGAACCTCTTCAACAAAATTCTTTTTAAGGTGTTTAAAAGTTCATTAAAGATTGAAAACTTTCTTTCCCTCTTGAGAGTTCCGGCACCTCTTAAAAAAAAAAAAAAAACGGCCCTGCCCGAATCTA